GGCGGTCCTACATTAGCATACCTCAGTCCCATGTTGATTAAAACTAGACGTTATTCAAGACTTTAAAAATATTTCGCCACATGCAAAGATAAATTAACGAATAAACTGCAACATTTCGAGAACAGACCGTTGTTATTACCGGCCGCATTCGAAAGACACCCAATCAATGAATTCCGTTGTTTGCATAATATTTCAAGTGTGCTGAATAAGTCAATCTGTATGGAACTTAGAAAGCAAATGTTTGGGGAAAACTCTTGAGTTTTTTTTCAACTAGTTTGTATGATTGTCCTAAAAAATTAACTTGTACGCATCATTCCCCCCCCCCCTCCCCCGATGCAAAGCTATATCTATTATTATCAGTTCTATATGCTATTTAAAACTCTTGCCATTTCCCCATTCAATAACCTATCATGATATAAGCCATTTACCAAAACATTATGAACTTTATTAATGCAAAGTTTGCAGGACGATAATCAATTAATGCCATGCGACATCCGGGAGGGTATCACAGTCGTGCCCGAGAAGCAGGCGTCCTTCTTTTGCTGATGCCGGCTTCTTGGCCTCCATGTTTATTTCAGCAGGGCAAGCGACCGAAAATGCATTCTTTCGCGCGCTAACTAGTTATCTCTGTGAGACTGCTTTATAATTTTTCAGATGGCAATGTGCCACAACATTTTCGTCGCATGGCGGCTTCGTTTATATGCCTCCATGCCCTTGAAGCTCTGCATGGATCCGGGATCAAGATCATAGTTTTGCGAACCGCAGCCTCTTTGATCCAAAAGGACTCGAGACGCGCCATTTTCCCTTCATTTCAACGCCGGGATAAGATAAGCGAATTCATGCAAAGCAGAATTTTGCGTAAACAATCCGGGCCCAGTCCAACCAACTGCTTCGTATTATCTAAAGCCCTTCAGCTTCTGTCGTCTTTTTCTTCGTCACTCGCAGCCGAAGGCGGTATAGTTTTCCATCTCTTTCGGTAACGCCTAAGCAAATGTCGACGTAGTCGTTAGCTTTGATCGTATTTATTGATGGTCAGTTAGTGAGCATCCCGGATCTCGTGTTGATAAGGAGCGCTGCTAAAGAGCAATGTATTACGCCGGGTTACCGGAGCTCGGCGAAGAGTTTCTTGATGGTCGCCAGGAATGGATAGGCTGCGATAGCGACGACGGTTGAGTCTAGAGGGGCGCGTCGACCAGGCACTGCCCGCCGCTGGATTGGTTTATGCGCCGCCGTAGATGTCAGTTGTTTGATCCGGCACGGCCGCTCCTCGTGAACCTCTAGGCTCTCATGATCGTTTCTATAAGAATATTACTGGAATTCTCTGCTCTGTAGGAAAATTATGATATGTTTTTGAAGAAGTTTTTGATTTTGTAAGTAATGTCTTAAATATTTTGAATTTAGCGATACAATTTATAAACATTTTATTTGAAAACTTTGTAAGAGTGAATCTTACCGTTTCAACGTTAGAAAATAATTCAATAACTTTGCCATTTTATAACTATATATTTCTCAGTTTACTATTAGATCTTAATATTGTTAATATGCAATGAAAATGCTTGGAAACCTGTTATTATAAGTTATTAATATTTCGATAGTTTTCATAAGAGTAAGTAAAAATTTTACTGACTTGGACAAATGCAATTCAATCTATATTCAGGGTGAACCATTTTTGTCATCTACGTTATGATAAACAGGATAGAAGCAGATAATCAGATTAGCGTCCGTCAACAATTTTTTATACCCACGGGAAATGAGGTCACTTTGTTGTACTCTACACCGAGCACCGGAAGAAAACGAAACATCATCTGAAAAAATTGTTCCGTGAACATTTGAAGCACATGTACACATTAATTCCATTAGTGGTATCAATTCATCTTATCTAGTACATCGAATGATAATCATCATCTATATATAAACTGCATTAATCATTTTAAAACTGCACTGATGATTATTGTGACAGTGGTCGGAATGTCTGAGTTGTTTATCAAGATTTAATAAACTTGATAGTCAATTAATCTCGATAGTTTGACAATCCTAGGGCATTTGAGCCTGTTGTTTTTAGCTTATTTATGGTTATGGCACTATATTTTTACTTTCAAGTTATTCCATGAGAATTAAACTGTACCTATACATATGTCAAACCAATATTGATTGGAATATCGTATTTTCAATGTTTAACTTTATTAACAAAAAGCAAATTACCTTATAAGCCACCAAACTGTACAAACCAAAAAAACATAATATTTACTCGTGGAGAATATGTAGAATATGAATCAAATTAAGTACGGCTCTTACATAGGACGGCTCTCTTCACAGTTACCTACGAAATCGGCATAATGAAATTGAAGTTAAAGGGACGGAATTTTTGTTATGGATTACCGGCCGCATAATTTGCCATCGTCTTCGACGATTTACGATTATCCGTCAGATCTACCGACAATGAAACCGTCCAACTATTTTTACGTCCATTTTTAAATGTTGATTGTCATTTTCGGCAAAATTGAACGTTGCTGAAAAATATTTCATTGTATGAATAAATTTTTTATTGAAAGAAGCAGAAGCCAATCTAATGTTATGAATATCAATTATGCCAGTTTCATGGAAATAATTTGAGTCATGTAACAGAAGGTGCTTATTTTATGTTACATCTAGTTTTTGTTGTAGATTGAGCTTATCACGAGCTCGAGTAATTAAGATTTTTGAAGTGTCAGTAAATAATTCTGGTGTGCGATCGATGTCTTTGCTGAGAAAATTCAACCTGTGAACATGATTATAGCGCCATTGCAACGTACATGTTATTATTGTCTGTCAGCTTTCCACTAACTTTTCCCACTTTCAGATTCTGATTTTTTTTTATTTCATACCATAGATATCCTAAAACGTTTTTTTTTTCAACATGGAGTTTTAGAACAATCAGACTAGCCGCTAACGGTACGAAAGATGGGCGACCTGGTATAATATGAATTCTAAACCTTGTTTGTCCCTATTTCTCGGAATGAAACCAAAGCCAAAATATCCTTCTGCGGCGTGACTCGCACTATTCGCGTCTACCTGGGCGCATTATTTTGACCATTTCATTTATAATATTGCTTAAATTCTACGACGTATCATTTTCCGGAAGCTTATTTAAGCCTTACCGTCAAATTCCAGCGAGAAGCCCCGCCATGCCTAGCGTTACTTTAGGCCTACCGTAAAGACCTTTTCGCTCTGATAACATCACTAATTTTTAAGCCAATGAAAACAATTTATCATCTCAGCTCAGGATAGAGATTCATTTTATATAAACGGAGCTCAGCTAAATACACGTATAGCCTGAAGTTTACCTATAATTCAGTCATAATTACTTTGCGTGCGTCTAGTCTTTGCATTATACAATACACTAATTATAGGGTAATTGGGTGCGGTAGTTTTTCGTTGTTTGTTTTTTAGGCTCATTCGTAACAGGATCGGATCTTGAAACGTCTCGGCAAAAATTCCAAAAAATATAAAGATCAAAATGAAAGCTTCTTTTTTCAGTTAACATTTTCCTTTCCCGCAAGACGCTGATAATTTAAGGACTCCCGATAAAAAAATAATAGTTTTATGTTGCAATTAAAGATCCTTTTGCGCTAAATGTATGGAGACAGCAGCTCTGCAGCTTATACAGGATTTATCCAGACATTCTTATTTTTTGAAATAAGATTGTCATACCAAAATATTGTGTGCTTAACCTAAAACATAGTCGAAAGTTTATCTTGCGATCATCTCTCTTTTGTGCGTTCATGTCTTCTGCAGAAAGGCAATATAGCCGAAGCTTAAAGAATTACAATTAACCATGATTAGCCACGATTATTAGATTGAAATCCTGGAATATTGTAAAGAAAGTCTTGTGCGTCGCTGCAGGCGTCAGATGCGCCACGGTGACAGCGAATGAATGGAGCTGGCGGAGATTTGATGACAGGTCGTTAGTGGAGATTTGATGAGGCGTCGCTGGCGGAGATTTGATGAAAGGTCGTTAGTGGAGATTTGATGAGGCGCCGCTGGCGGAGATTTGATGACACGTCGTTAGTGGAGATTTGATGAGGCGCCGCTGGCGGAGATTTGATGACGCGCCACTGGCGGATATTTGATGGCGCGCCACTGGCGGATATTTGATGGCGCGCCACTGGCGGATATTTGATGACGCGCCACGGGCGGAGATTTGATGACGCGCCACTGGCGGATATTTGATGGCGCGCCACTGGCGGATATTTGATGACGCGCCACTGGCGGAGATTTGATGACGCGCCACTGGCGGAGATTTGATGAGACGCCGCCCGACGCACGGTAGCAGCGTATCATTAAGAAGCAGCAGGCAACTTGCTGCTTCTTAAACTGTAACTTCTTGTACTGCTGCTGTAACTTGCTGCTGTGCCGCTGTAACTTGCTGCTCTGCCGCTGTAACTTGCTGCTCTGTCGCTGTAACTTGCTGCTCTGCCGCTGTAACTTGCTGCTCTGCCGCTGTAACTTTCTGCTCTTCCGCTGTAACTTGCTGCTCTGCCGCTGTAACTTGCTGCTCTGCCGCTGTTTGCTTCTATAATTGCTGTTTCACTTCTATAATTTACAACTCGGCTGTATAACCTTAATGCTAGAATGTTCTAGCATGTCTTTATTTTATAACTAATAACCGCGCCCTTTAGGTTGTTAGCTGTTCGCAAATTTTTCGCAAAATATCACTTACAGATTTATGACTCTTCGCACAATATCACTTAAAATCTTTTAGTAATTGAGACAAAGACAAACTCTATTCTATATTAAAATAAATGATAATGTTGAGAGAGCGGCACAACGCGCATGCCTTCCAGGAAGCATTTAGTTTAAGGGGGAGGGGATGGTCGGTATGAGGAGGGGGAGGGGGTGCTCGGTATGAGGAGGGGGAGGGGGAGTTGTTCCCTGCGAAGTTCATTCACAAAAGTGCCTCGAAGCTCCTCCTTCATCTCATTCAAGAACGGCAGCTTCCCTTCTTCTCAAGTCCGTGTCTTCGCGCGAGTTTGAACCGTCGTGACCCTGAGAAACAACACAAACATAGTCTTAAATTTCATGTCTGTCATCAAATCGCCTTTTTGATAGATGACCGTCCTTTTAGGGCATGTTTTTGCGATAAGTCAAGATATTGAACTCTTTTATAAGGAGGCTCACAGAAGCGAGATGTTGTTAGTAGTAAACGAGTAACAGTCGCGTGAGGTTGTGGACGCTACGCTGCAGCTAACTCTGATCCGCTGTACAGGTGCTCGCTAGCGTTGCGCACCTTGCGCTATTTTACATTGTGCGATCAAAATACGCTGAAGTATTGAAGCATTCGATATTTTTCAGTTCGTTAATTCATCTCCTCATTTCGGACGAACTGAATTGCGATTTTGAGATAAAATTTACGTTTATAATTTTTTTTCGCATGGGTATAATAGTTGGCCAACGTGTATCAATGCCTCAAAAATCCATAATGCTTCCGTCAAACGAGATAAAATCGCGAACCAATCTTACACATGATAATTTATGCACGACTACGACGAATAATGCGCCGATTTTTTCTGTTGAAATGAAAAAATCTCCTTCGGCATCCTCAGATCCACAACTTCGGGAAGAATCTCTTTTTAGCAAGATGCAGAACACCGCAAGAACCACAATCAATCTCTCACACACAGCCACGTCGAGAAAAGATCGTGCATGTGGTTGGGAACCGCGTGAGATTCAACAGCTCGGTAATTCGTTCTCTTCAAGTTGCAACACCAGACCGACACATGCGGAAGTCGGGGAAAATTTCATCCGCTCATCTCGACGATGCTTTGCTTTCCCGATGCTCGTCCTGCTTCTGACGATATTCGACGCCACTAAGATTGAAGCCCGCACTTCTGTGTCCACTCGTCATGGTTCGTCAGTGCCAATACTTGACAGCTATCCGTCCTATTCATCGGAATACCAACCAGACTATCCACCTGAACTGAAACCAAGAATACCGGATGAACCACTGCACGCGGATCGCATCTTTTTCCAGCAAGGGGTAAGTATTTAAAACTTTCTTTCACCTATATGCTTTAAGTATAGATCTCAATATAATAAAAAGCTTGTAACCGTACCAAAAAAGTTGCATGAATCATTCATTGACTGAAACGGGCATGATCTACGTGTTTAACATTCTGTTAACAGAGCGGCTACCAGCGATCCTGTTCTTATAAGAAGATATTGCTAATTGTATTAATTACTCCACATCAATGCATGGTTCCATCTAAACTGTAATTTTTAATATGTCTCATGATCATAGTACGTCAGTCAGTTCCCATAAATATCGATAAATTTTCTTAGACTTCTTTGCCTGCCTTTACGTGAATTGATTTTTGGATTGGAATTAGTTCAAGTGCATTCCGCAAAACATTAGGCCAAGAATTCAATCATAACCACTTTTGGAGTAAAAAAAACCTCTTATGAGCTTCTACTACTGATTTAAAATAGTTTCCATGCCTGAACCTTAAATTTTATTGAAGTCGCTGTAATTAGTCTCCAGATTTTGGGTAAGTATCATTGAGCTGCAATAGTCAACAATTGTTTATTGATCGAGATATTTTTCGCAAGCTACATTGCTACGGAACGATGCCCGGTTACTAGCGTATAATTAAGAAAATTCGACAATTTTTCTAAAGCATACGTGATGCACTTGCTTAGCACGCTAGACTTATTTACAGGCAAAACGTTTTACATAAAAAAGCTCACTTTTTATCATCNACTCACTGCAGTGAGTGACAGAGAGCGCATTTTCTCGTCGACGAAAACTTGAGGTCACGGACAGACGGACGGACAGACAGACGGACATGGCGAGCACAATAGTGCATTTTTTCCATAAATGAGAAAATGCGCTAAAAATGCACCGAAGAGCACAAAGCAACAAAGCTGCTCCCAACGTGAGCAGTGCGCACGCTCATGCACTTCCTTCCGCATCTCTGCATGACCAGCTGCTTGACAGCTGTACGTGGTGCGCTGCACCTGCAGCCGTATTTAGGGCATGTAGCAACCGTAATGTGTTGCACCTACCACCATAGTGGCATATATTTCGTGCTCATGCCACTATATATATTGGAGCACTTGGCTATGTAGTTTGCTCGTTTGCAGCCGTCTTTAGAGAACGTATAACTCGTGATGTGTTACGCTGCTATATTTTATCCAAGTTTCATGGCTACGACAGTGCTGTGTATGTAAAGTAATACTTATGAAATGATGTTCTAGTAATTCAACGCACAAAGTTAGAGTCACACCAACATCGCGTGCTAATTTAAGAACGGCTTCACCAAACAAGCGGACAGAGGATCACGGATACGTTATCAAAACACAATAGCGCCTCATTAGCAATCAATAAGTTGTCCGTTCAGTAAAGAACCTCGATGTCCGTACAGATAATAGAATTGCAATTAGTTCCTTCAAATGCAAGATTTTTCGATTGCAATTAACTTAAGGAAGCTATAAACTGAATATAAATGAAATTTTCAGCATATAGTAACTACGATTGAAATAACTGACACGTTTATCGACGCTGTCAACAACTCCACATAAAACTTTGTCGATTGAGAACTTGAATTTTTGCGTTCGACATCGTTTCGCTTTAAATGAAATATATAGAGTTTAAATCCCTATAATATCAAGCAGTTTTGCTTAGAGCCAGTAGTCTTAATTACCTGATGTGAGTCTCGAAACGATCTAGGCTAAGAATCCGCAAGCTGCCGTAATTGTTTTCTTCGTAAATTGTCTAGTTGACGTTTCAGAAACCTGCTATGGAAAATTTCCTCCTTGTTGCATGACCCTAATAAGCTTTGAGTGATTGAAAGTTTTAACATCTGCCTACAGTTATAGCTATTCGATCATTGGTGCAGAGAATTGTATCGTTCACAGGGTAAAATGGAGGCAGATGACTTCGGCAAACACACTAGTATACGAATGAAATTGTGCACATCTAATCAAGATAAATTAGAATACATTTATTTATTCGAACATTTGCGTGGTAAGAAATTCCATTAACTATTGCAGAGACGTTGCAGAATTGTAACTCTCTGATTGTTTGAATTGTGCAGGTGCCAAAAAGATTTTTATCTATCAACTGTCTGGTTTACAAATATATGATCTCAATGAGTGTTGTATTGAGGATAAGTCGTACCAAATAGTGCTAGGCTATTTTCATATAACAATATCTGATAAAATTAGTTTTATAACTTATTTTAAGAGTATGAGAACCATTTCATTTCGCATAAATGAAAATATCAATATATTTTGTCTTCTTCAATTAAGCCTTGAAACATACTATTGTTGTCAATCTGTGGAACCTCTTTATTAAAAAATGAATTCTTGACATGAATGGTATTGATCATTATGAATGGTATATACGTAACGCGAAATCAACGCTTCAAAGTTAAACAAAGAAGCTTTGCCGCATGCGAACACATCCAATTCGTTGAAATTATTTTATGAAATATATGTTCAAATTTTTCAAACATTTTGCGATCTCTCCTGCTATTGTATTTGTTAAAGCTGGACTGCCGTGATTTTCTTCGTATTGAAGTTTGGATGCAAGCGACGTACGTAAGATCAGGCATGCTCGCTCCGCACACCTCTCGTCTCAGGCATGACAATGAAGGCTCCTGCTTCGGCCGCGTCTGAATGTCGCCATTTTTGGACCTGCTATTGGAAATTGCGAGAGAATATGTCTTAAATGAACAAAAGTTTGCTTACATTACTCACATTTTTAAAATGTTGACTATTTTAATAATGTACTTCCATCGACTCTAGCTCGTGTGAGATATTATAGCAATTAAATTTTTATAAAAAATTTCAAAATTCCTGACAGATGAATTATTTCAACTTCAGGACAACTGATTACGTCTCCAAAAATGTAATCAATATTCTATGTTGATCAAAATTTTTTTCCAAGTTCGAACATTTTCTTTTAAAACTTTAAGTGAGCTATTTCTCTTGCCAGTAGAGCCTCACATGCATGCAATTAATAAATAGTAATTAATGATTAAGTCGCCTGCATTTAATTAAGAATAAGACTGATCGGCCTCGATCTCTTGTCGAGTAAGTGGCGATACGAACCAATAAGAAAATGACAGAGAAGCTCTGATGACTGTGAACAATTATTCGGAACCTGCGTACACGAGGATGATTTACTAAATCCTTCCCAAAAGTTGCAGTTTACTTAACTCCCATTATGCATACTCATCAGATATGATAAGTACATGCATAATATGTATAAACAACTCTGAGACATGATGATAAGTTATTTACAAACATGCAACTCAAACAACGAATCAAATAGACGTGGCCTTATAACCAAACACTAGCTATAAGAACTCAGCGCATTACTTTCTTCGTACGAAACATTGGGCCCAAACGGCCGTTAAAAGTTTCTCCACATGCATATGCTTCTCGTGCGAACGTGCAGCATTTCTATTTTAATGGCAATTGAGGCTGTCAGGATAAACTTCAAAGTTACATTTGCTCCCTTGCATAACTCAGGGGAGCTGGCACTGCAGCTCAATGCTGTTGCTTTACGATCTTTGCGGGCGAAATCTTGTTTGTTGGTTGTGGTGTCGGGCTCACTTCTTTGAGGTGACAACGATTCGACGCCAAGTGTCGACCGTATATTTTCGCAGCCTAAATACTAAGCGAGGTAAATACAGGCTCGTAAACATCCTTTATTCTACGCACTGTACACTGCAGTTGGAGGGCTTCATTTGTGGGATAGTTTTCTGTGGTGGAGATTGCTTTGAAATTCTTGAAATTCAGTTTTAAAGTTGGTATTTGTTTTTAGTTAGCATTATTCTCGTATTTAGTTGTTCAATGCTTCATTAGACTAGTTTCTCTTGTTTTTATCGCATTTTCTCATTTATGGAAAAAATGCACTATTGTGCTCGCCATGTCCGTCTGTCCGTCCGTGACTTCACGTTTTCGTTGACGAGAAAATGAGCTCTTTGTCAATCACTGCAGTGAGTACTGAGTTATATATATATTTTTTGTTATGAAATCGCGTTCATCGAAAAATTCTGCATGCATTCGATTGATTTTAATTTATTTATTTCAATTCAGCATTGATTTACCATGTAACCAGGCATATGGTATTGATTTTAATCAATTTACTCTTACATAGATGAAAATAATTAATATTTATATCGTAAACTTTGACACTTTCCTGTGAAAAGGCAGCTTTAGAGCCTGCTAGAAAATTTGCCAACATAGGAGCTTATGCAACACATATTATAACTAAAATAGGAACAATTACATGGAATTAGCTCAGTTTTGGAAGCGGGTGTTCTAGCAAAAGTAAAATAAAGGTAAGTGCTCAATACATCACTTACTTACATTCAAAGGATTTAGATCCCACGTGATGCTAAAGAATGATTTATTAAGCAATAAATTAGTTTTTGTTTTTTATGCATATTGTCATGCTGACCTAAACGTCTAGGTCACGGGCTGACTTTCTGCAGCACTTACTTTGAAGTGATTCTTCACTTACGCCATGGCTTTTCTTCATTCGTCCGCAGAACGAGAAATCGTCTGATGTTCAGCATGGTATCATGCCTACGACTTGTTACTTTTTTTAATACGTTTTGTATTGTACTATGTAGAATGAACGCTGTTGAGTCAAATGAAAAAAAAAATGAAATGAATTATTTATTTATTTTTTTGAAATTGTCAGAAGATACTGGGAGAGCGTAAGCTAGGAAAAGATTTCACAGATTAGCTAGGGAGAAAACAGATGAAAGTAAATAGGAGTTCATGATAAAAGCTGCGAGTGAAGAATTAGGTTTTTGTGTGGAATTTTACTTGAGCATAAAATGGTTCTTTGGAAATCCATGCTCAAGAACTTACACTCAATGTATAGCAAGGCGAAATATCACACTCTACTGATTATTAGGTCAGCTGGTAAATGTTCAACTCTACTTAAAAATTTTCTGACTTATCATCATGATCTTAATTTCATTAATAATATGATTCGTCATTTATACGGCTTGATAGCGT